ATACATTCAACTGGTATACTGTCTCCTGTTACTTAGACCTGGTTTGGTTCTGGTTTAGACCTTGTTTAGTCCTGATTTAGTCTAGATTCAGACCTGGTTTAGACGTGATTTAGCACTGAATTAGTTTTGGTTTAGTCCTGGTTCAGTCCTGCTTTAGTCCTGGTTCAGTACTGGTTTAGTCCTGGCTGGGTTTATCCTGGTACAGCTCTGGTTTAGTCCTGGTTTAGTCCTGATTTAGTCCTGGTTCATCTTTGTTTTGTCCTGATTTAGTCTTGGTTTTGTCCATATGTTCAAACTGGGTGACTCCTTATTTTTTATGATTTATTTTGGCCCCTGCTTGTACTTTTTCCACCACTGTTGCCACAGACACAATCCACTGATGTCACCCACTCTGTGCCCATCATAATCACAGAGAAAACAAACCAAACATTGAACAGATAAACGCCGGATTATGTTTTGGTTTGGTCCAGTTTAGTCCTGGTTTAGTCTTGTATTTTACTCGATTCAGGCCTTAAATTAAAATCCTTTAGAAATAATTGAACACATTTAAATTTGCAGTATTTTTTTGCCTCACTGTTACTATAAACAGACTGAGCGGATGTAACCCTCTTATTAAAGCACATAGACACAGCAAATATTGTCCTGTGTTCTCGCCTCAGTCCGGATGTGGCTCGTAAACTGGGACAGAAATAGACTCAGATGTACAGAAGATATAACACATGGGGAAACCCAATTAAAGTTACACTTTTTTTTTTTTTTTTTTTTTTAATATTACGCTATTCCCTGATCTATGTTATATTGTTTCTTCACCAAAAACACACCTGAAGTTGTGTTTGATTCTCACATGTTTAACACACACATTATGCAGATTTAGGCTTTAGGAGATTTTCTCTCAAACGGAAAACACTGTTGCACCTTATGATGTCATGCTGTAATACAGGACGTACTCAACAGTGTTTTAAAACTCCATACACGTTCAATAGAATCATTTGGATGATTTCAGCCCCTGAAAACTATCGCTTCATGAACATCACAAGGTAGAAAAGAGCATTTAGAGCTTTGGAGATGGAGATGTAGATTGACTGAAACAATAAACAATAAAAAATAAAACATAAAAAAAGCACACTATACAAGACCTTTAAAAAGAGAATATCGCCATCTTCTCCCATGTATCCTGGGCTGGGTCAGGGAGACTGTATAAGATTAGAACTGATTTAGTTATATTTAGTCTTGGATTTGACGTGGTTCAACCCATAGACTGTATAAAGAAGTGGACTAAGGGAGTTTGACGTCACCCATAGCTTTTGGCTCCAGTCAAATGAAGGTCAGGAGGCCAACAGTTATGAGGGCAAATTTGGAGTCAACCTCCATATTAGGAAAAGTTTTTAGTAACTGACAAAATAAAAACCTCAGGATCTTTACATTGGTTTGGGGCTGATACAAACTGTAAATACTCTGTGACCTGTGGACATGTTACACAGAGGAAACTCTACTGTAATGTTTAACCACCACAGGAAATCAGGCTCACGTTTCACTCGGCTCCAGTGTCCAGGACCCAGATCAGAGAGCTCCACTCACTTAAATGAGACTGATGACATAACCAGCTAAAGCTGCACTGTGTAATTCTTCTGGTAGACGGTTTGCCAGCTGCTTGTTTCCATGGAGATGATTAAAGTTAAGGTGCACTTTACTGCCCTCTGCATTTGACCTATTCTTCAGTGTCTCCGGGTTAATCCTGTCAGGAGTAGCGGGACCCATCTCCAGATCTTGAACTAGTCTTAAACTAGTCACATTGCACACATTGGTAAACACTGTCAAAAAGTTCTAAAATAGTCTGAAACTCAAGATAAAATACAAAATGGATTTAAGCAGCACATTTTCAGGAGCCTGTGATCCATGTGAGTGTCTAAACCAGATCTAAACCAGTGTTGCATGGAGTTTAGGAGTTTGATTTTCAACAAAAGATGAAAGTGACTAACTGAAAACTGTCAATTCAGCTCACTTGTTGTAGCTAAATTAAACAACTATTTTTTTTTATTTTATTTTTTATTTTTTTTTAACAAAACTCAGATTAAAGGTTAACTTGATGGAGCTTCAGACAGAGCAGTACCTTCAGTTAGTATCACATCCCCAGGGAATGTTGATGGCATCATATCAATTGTGCATGTTTTAGGTTGATGGGAGAAACCAAAGGAAACCCACACAGACACAGGCAGAACATGCAAACTTGAGGGAATTGAACCTCACTTTAAAGCTTTGCCTGAAATATACCCATGCCAACGAGGAAGTCTGAAGTCTTTATTGACCTGACTGATGACAGACATTTATACAAAGGATAATTATTCAGTGAAAAGTTAATGAAGAGTAATTTAATGTTTGACAAGCCACAGAAAGACCATGATGCACCGGGCCCATTGTGACGTTTGGTTTAATTATAGAACAGAATCTCCACCTATTTTCTGACATTTACAAATTACACTGCAGCTAATTACAATAACGCTCCTTTATTGTAAAAGAGTACTTCACAGGTTAATTTGACAAAGACACAGTCAAGATTGTTATATTTAAGATTTTGCTACAAACATTTTACAATTTCTTTCCTGTTTTGGACATTTGATTAATGATTTACTTCCTGATTGGAAATTATCACATCACACTAGGGAATTCCATAACTGTTACCTAATGGCCAAAACTCTTCGAATGTACTCAAAAAGTAGTATCTGACAAATAAAAATACAAAAAATACCTTTACTTTGCTGCAATAATGCTTAAAATATTTGAAAATAATATGCATTTTACATACAACTTGCTTTTTTTTCAATTATTGGATTTTTTTATTGCAAAAAAAAGTTAAATGTTAAATGTTATTATTGTGTGGGGTCATTTCTGTTCAGATCTGACCTGTGACACTTCTGTGATAAAAAAAAGAAGAAAAAAGAAACGTTTAATGCAAAACAATAAGCTAGTAAAGTCTCCACCAGAAAAGTTACACAGTACACCTTTAATGTTATTGCGTTATTTATACAACCAAAACACCCACGGATTTTAGAATCAACCATGGCTAATACTACTGCTAAATATTTACACTTGAAACTTCTATCGATAGGCCTACATCTCAGCTGATGCCATCAACATTCCCTGGAGGTGTGACGCTAACTGAAAGCACTACTCTGTCTGAAGATCTGTTACTTGAATTAGACTTTAATCTGTGCTTTAATTTTACACAGTCTGACAGAAAGAGCTGACTTACTTGGAATTATAACAGGAGAGCTGATTTGTGGTGTTAAACAAATCTCTCCACACTCCTAAACAGGACCATGAACACTGGTATTGATCACATACTCCTGAAAATGACCTATTTAAATCCATTTTGTATTTTTTCTTTAAGCTTTTAGACAATCTTTAAACTTTGTTCAGATGTGCTTGCTAATGTGTGCATTGTGTCACCATGGTAACTCACATGATGTCAATGCAAAGTTTCTTCCGGTCTGGTCCGGGTCATTCAAGATAATATTCTGTTTTATCACTGGAAACACCGTAAACTCACTAGACCGGATTCTTTCTCTGACAGAGCCTCTTGTTTCTCAGAGTAGAAAAAAACTAAACAAAACAGGTTTGTTAAGTTTGAAGCTATTTTAAGAACATCCTCTTCTTCAAAAAACACTATGACCCAAATGGAGCTCACAGTTACATAATTAATAATACAACATCATAGGTGCAGGTAAAGGTGCACTGTGGAACTTTTTGATTGAGGGTCCATTGCCTGTTTGTTTGTATAGATATGTTATTGCTCTGCCAGAAATGTTCCACGGTATGACATTAAACAGCTCTACTTCACATTTATTCAATCACAGGTGGTTTTATAGCTCAAATATAGCTAAAAAAAAAAAACAAAACTGGCATTCTAACTGAGCGGGGTCGCCTCTCCACAGATCTGACCTGTAGCTTGATTTGGTTTGGTTTCCATGAAAATATAAAAGTTAAATACATACCAGACAATAATAAAAAAGCATTTGACAGACCCTCCACCCACAAAGTTACACAATACACCTTTAAATTATTATTATTATTTTTTTTTATTTTACATTTTTTGCTATCTTGTAAATGCTATTTAGAACTCAAAATGTGTAATTCATCAAGGTTTAAAGGTGCAAGCAATATCCCTGCCACCTGGTTGTCTCCCTGGAGGTGTGATTGCTGCACCTGGAAGACTTCAATCTATTACAAGTCAAATCTATGGAGAGGCGATCTCGCTAACAGACAGTGACAGGGACAGAGTGCCTGTTTTTCAATGTATTTTTTAAAGCAATGGAACGCCTGCAGTTGAATTAAAGATAGATAAATGTAATGCCACACTTTCATTGTGGAATATTCCAGACAAAGTACCAACATCTCCATGGAGACAAGCGGGTGACAGACCCTCCACCAGAAAAGTCACCAAGTACACCTTAAAATTACGAATATTTCAGTATAAATCAAGGAAAACTGCCTTATTTCATTGTAGATCATTACACAAGAATTTAATCAACTCAAACCAAGATCAAAATATAGTATAGTTAAAAAAAAAAAAGTAAGGTAGACCTGTTTAATGTCATACTGTGGAACATTCCAGGCAGAGAAATGACATATCAATAAAAACTAGCAAGGGACTGACTCTCCACCAGAAAAGTTACACAATGCACCAGTAGTGTATAGTAAAATTAGTATTGAAGTGGTGGTCCATACAGAATCTATGGCGACATCTGTTGGACATTATCTCGTACTACAGTTGGAAAAATTGTAACAGCTTGATATCAGTGACTGTACATTCTGATAATATGCTCAAATAAAAAAATTAATTAAACAAATGACCAAAATGACTATACTACTAGTTAGATTTTTTACACTTTCACACAAATAATCTGATATTTTAGTCTGTAAATACTGTATCTTGATTCTTACTACAGACTAGCTGAAATTTTCCACATATTTAAAAATAAAATAATACAGCGAAACTTCGATTATCAATACACCTCAGAGTTTATTGATTTTAATGACGCAGAAACAGCCAAAAGTCCAACTTTACAAAAATAGCATTTGCAAAAAAACAACATATATAGACCAAATATATAAGAAATAATTTAATCATTTAGTGGCCTCTTTTCGTCACTGAAAACACTTATTTACAAAGAGTTATAATCAAAAAGCATTTCTTCATAAGTAAAAGTGTCACTGTATTTAAAAGGTGCACTGTGTAACTTTTCTGGTAGAGGTCCCGCCAGTTACTTGTCTCCATGGAGATGCTATTGCTTTACCTCCAATATTCCAAAGTATGACATTAAACTTTTCATTCTCCATAGAAACAAGAAGGAGACACTCCAGGCCAATTTACAGGTGAGATCTGTGAAGAGGCGACCCCTCTCACAGTAAGAATGGATGTTTTAAAAGTATTTTTAAAGGAACATAACTGGCAAAGCAATAGCATCTCCATGGTAGTGGACCCCCAACCTGAAAAGTTACACAATGCACCTTTAAAATGTGCTATTATAAAAATGGGGAACAATTACATCAGCCTTAATTACTTCACAAGATCAACCGCTCCATGCACACACAAACACACAAACACACAAACACAAATGATGATGGTGGAGCCCACGGCAACTTCTGGAATAAAATTAATAGAAAAAGGGAAATTTAAAGGTGCATTGCATAACTTTTGTGGTGGAGGGTCCGTAAAAATGCTTTTCTTCATGGAAATGTTATTTCTTTGCCTGGAATGTTTCACAGTATTAAACCTTTATATCTTCATAGTGGAGACCAAACCAGACCAAGTTGCAGGTCAGATCCGTGGAAAGGTGAGGCCGCTCACAGTCAGAATGCCTGTTTTTCTAGGTATTTTTGAGCTATAAAACCACCTGTAATTGAATACATGTAAGGCAGAGCTGTTTAATTTCATAGTTTGAGACATTCCAGTCAGAGCAGTGACATATCCATAGAAACGAGCAGGTGACAGACCCAAACCAAAAAGTTACACAGTGCACGTTTAACATTATAAAACACTCAATTTCAAATCATCACAAAAAAAAAAAAAAAAAAAAAAAAAAAAAAAATTAAGACTTTTTTACTGCCAAATGAAACCAATATTAAAAGATACCCGACAAACTCAAAACTAAGTAAAATGTGTAAACAAAAATATTTTCAAATTTGTTCAGGAATAAGGAAGTTTTACCAAAAATGTCAAAACTTACAGGGAAAAAAATTACATTCAAATGTCTAGAAGTAGGTCATTAAGGTGAAATTAGGAGTTATATTTTTAAGTACGTGTTTACAATGATCAAAAAGGCTGCATGTACAGAAAAACGAGAGAAAAATATGAATTCTCCAGGTTCTGACACACTTCAATTTAAATGCATTGAACTTATGATTTCCCAATAGTTGTTTACAATATATACTACGGCAAACAATCTTAAAATAACATTTTAAATTAAATAAATAAAAGCTGTTATGAGGCTAAAATCAGTGCAGTTGGAGATGATCATAAGAAAAGATAATTAAGAGAAGATTTTTAAAACAAACTGGTCAAATTGTCTGATCTGAAGACTAAAAAAAATGCACCAAACAAATTTTCTGGTGTGGGATCTGCTGCTTGCTTGTCTCCATGGAGATACTATTGCTTTGCCTGGAATGTCCAACAATATGGCATCAAACTAATCTTCCATCTTACATTTCATCAACCACAGATCCTCTTATTGCCCACAAGCACGATTCAAATAATGTATTCTCCACAGCTCTGACCCGTAACTTTCTCTGTTGCGTCAGCTACTTTTCTCCAGGGACATAATGAAGTTTAATGCCATTCATTCCTGGCAATGCAATTGTATTACCGTGGAGACAAGCAAGTGGCAGACCCTCCACCTGAAAGGTTACATGATAGTAGACCTTTTTAAGAGCAGCTGGCTCTGTGCGCAATACCACTTGGCAACCTCACATGCATCACACAAATAAAATTAAAACGTCTGATGTTTGGTTCTCAATGCTAATGCTAATGCTAAAACAAACACTACAAAATGAAGTGTTCTACATATAAAATGATTGGGCAGGTTTTACTTTGATTCATTTTAATAGGTTCTTTTTTCTCTCTTTTCCAATTTTAATAAAAGTGACTGTTAGCTTTGAGACACGTGAGCTAGCTAGCATGCTACTGTGCACAGAGCCTATTATATGTAAGTATTTAGTAATAAAATTATTCACATCAAAAAGCATTAAAATAATCTTTAATTCTCCTCTAAAAGCAAAGCGGAGAGCACGTTAATATCTGTTTCGTTGGGGTGAGTTTGGAGCACCAGAGTGATCATGCTGTCCTGCCCGGGGAACACCTGGCACAGCTGCTGCCTCAAATGTGCCGTCTCCTCTGGACTCCTCCCAGCTCTGGGTCCTGGTCTGGGTCCTGGTTCTGGTTCACGTCCCGGTCTGGTCCAGGCCTGTCTCTGTCCGTCTCGTCCTGGTCTCCTCTGAGTCTCCCACGCTCCCCCTGGTGAGCGGTCGCGGTAGTGCGTATTGTACGTGAGGCCGCTCATTTCTGGAGATCTGAGGAGAGAATGAATCATGTTTTAACCATAGACTGTATATATAAATGAACAAAGCTAACCCACTAGCCCACTGATGTTACAAATAAGAAGTGAGCATGGGGGTGCTTCCGGCTCCATCGACTGTCCCCCCTCTTTCTATAACTGTTGCAGTAAGCCTAGCCATTTTGGTCTTAAAATGTTTGTATTAACGCACTCTACATGATCTTGGTGTTTTTATTTCACTATTTTCTCTATAAATAAAGTCCTATTCCTATAACTACCAGCCTCGTTGAGCTTCATTAGACTGGAGGCGAACACTATGGAAGACGTCACACTCCCTTAGTGCACTTCTTTATACATTTATTTAACAGTTGACATTATATGTGCAGTTCACTTATTTCACCACTAGACAGCGCTGTAATACATGTAATTTTATGCTGTAGACTTCTACATTTTGTTTCCCATTATTTATGCATCATCAGCTACAACAACGAATTTTGAGTGATAGATAAATACTGTCTTGATATGAAGGAAATTCAAAAATATTGCAATATTACACGTTATATTACACATAATTAGATCTTAAAGTCTAGTTTAAGATCAGGTCAGCTGTTACGCTGAAATCAAACCTGACACAGCGTAAGTAAAGTGGGAGTATTTTACTTCTATGGGGTATTAACTGCTAACAAATCCATAAATATACAAAAACATGATACAAAAATTGTACACAGCAATTTGACAAACCTGATCTGATGTGCAATAGTTTCATTAGTGGGATGCATGCTGATTGTGTTTTGAAGGGGATTAACTTAAAGTGGAGCACAAAGAGAGGGGGACTCAGAGTGTAAAAATGCATTCTTTTCTGTGAATATAGCATTTTCAAAAAATTAAATGGTTGATCATTGTGATTTAAATATGTTATGTGTCTGCACTTAATACACCATAGAAGAGTTTCACCTTCTTTAAAGATCAGTGTTGTTGCTCTCTGTAAATCTGGCTAAAGACGATAAAACTCGCAATAAACTAAGTAATGTGAAAAGGCACACTGTTCCTGGTACCTGATCTCCGTGGATAGGAACTCATCCAGGTGTGGTCCTCCTCGTCCCAGTGGATCATCAGGAACCATGAACAGATCCCCCACAAATGTATACTGAAGCAGTCTGAGAAGAGAGCACAGAATTTACACAGCTTCTCTTTTCAAATACAGAATTCAGAGAAAACAACATTTAACAACGAACAAGGAAGAGAAATACTTTGTTCACCTTTTCTTGATTATCTCCCTCCACGCTGCAGACTCGTCAGACAGGTCTCTCAGATTGTCATTTGTCACAATCACTCCATCTGTTTTCTGAGCCAGTTGCAGCATAAATCTATCAAAACATTTACTTTTACTACTTAAAAACACAGAGAGAGGAACCTCAGGGCATGTGGACAGGAAAAACATCTGTGCTTTTCTCTAAATTTGATTTGACAAAAGTCTGATTTTTCGGCTGTTATCCATCTTTGACCAATCAGACTCAAATATGTGTGGAAAGTATTTTTTTGAAAGTAGAGAGTTGTAATTAGAAAGCAAAGTGGTTTAAAACTCCACAAACCTGTCATCATAGGAACTGATTCTTTTGCCTTGGACCTCTCTTGATGGAGTTAAAGAGACGATGCCCAACTCCTTCAGTTGAGTGAGATAGTGCTGCTCTGTGGAGGAAACAGTATTAATAAACCAACATTAAAAAAAAGTTATTTCTAATTTGTTTAAAGCTGGGGTTACACTGTGCGATTTTCAGGCCGATTTTGACACAGACATGACAGTTTCAGCTCCTCTGTGCATCATACAGTGTACAGAATGTGCACCTATAAAAAGATAGTCACGTCGCAAAAGTGTCCTCAGACCCGTACACAGTCCCCCTCTCGCTCATGTCCCCTGTACAGTGTGAGCAGGTCAGCGTGAGCTTCGTATGACATTTAATTGCAAAGTGTAAGTTTGGGAACTATTTCAAACGTCTTCAAATCATAGCAAATTGCACAGAGTAAGCCCATCTTAAACTTTTCCCTTTTTAAGACAGTACAAATCAAATACAGGGCCTTTAAATTGTAATGTTATAACCAGTAAAAAACTACCTTTGATCTTGTAGTCATGCTTGGTTCTCCACTGGGGCAGTAACACACTGATCTGTCTGTGTCCTCTGTCCCAGAAGTGCTGCACCGCCAAAGCGATGCCCCGACACGAGAAGAAGTGCCCCAGACCATGACTGTGGAGGGGAAATACAGCATTAATATATATTGAGATCATTTAAAAGAACGTTACAGATTAAGAATGATCCTTTCCAAAATCTGGACTCCACTGAGGCCTGTCATAATAATCACTATACTAATACTTTGCAATGACATCTGGGGGTGTTCACATGTATGTGTACTGCGGAATGTTTACAAATTACCATGGTGACACAATGCACACATTAGCAAAAAACAAAAATTAAATTAAATAAAACTCAAGAAAAAATACAAAATGGATTTAAATAGCACATTTACAGGAGTCTGTGATCAATATGAGCGTTCATGGTCCTGTTTAGGTTGCGTTAAAGCAGAGGTCTTCAACGTTGTTCAGGCCAGGGATCCCGAAATTCATAGACAGCTGGAGCAGGGACCCACTGCTATATATATGGCATACAATTGTGTTTTATTAAATTGGGCCTAGTGTCGTGTATAAACAAAGCTACTCTGTTACTGTACATTAAATACTAAGGGGGTATTTCATCAAAGTCGCTTATCCTGAAATCCTGAGCTGAAACTAGCTCCATCTCCAGTTTCAGCCTCAACTCACTCCATGACAGAAATGAGTCTGACCAAAGCTAATTTAGGCCTGAAGTTTAAACTGCACTTTGTGCGCTTGCATTGACCGAGAAGGCCAAATCAATGGAGCAACGACATCACGGAAAATGGGCTCAAAGTGTGACTTTTTTAATGTACTGATTAAATGAGAGAGGATGCGCAGTAGTACGTGCGGAGCTTAAGTTCCACTATGCGTAAAAGTGAAGCTGTAATGGAACTCTTCACATGTACCCTAACAAAAAAACATAAAATCCAGGCCAATGAGTTTGCAGTTGGACAGGGAGCGAGAAACGAGGGGATGAAGAGAGAGACAGATGTGATGAAGGAGCGCACATTCTTTAAAAATGAATATTTAAAAAAAAAAAAAAGTCTAATCAATCAAACATTTTGCGACCCTCCTGCACTACCTTCGCGACCCTCCTAGGGGTCATGACCCTCCTGTTGAAGACCTCGGTGTTAAAGTAAAGCTGAGTTTAAAGTCTAATATGAGTAACAGAGCTTCAGGCAGAGTAGTGCTTACAGTTAGCGTCACACCCCCAAGGAATGTTGATGACATCATCAGCTGCAAAGTATCAATAAGTAGGCCTGTCACCATAATTACTAGATCGACTTAATGTTTAATTAATATACAAAAGATGGAAAAATATACTGTATTTTGAAGTTCAATTTTTATTGTGTGTACAATTTCTTTGTAGAAGTAAGGAGGATTTTGTTCTTTTGTGTTAATACAATATGATTTGAACTGTAAAATTCTGTATTTTATAATTTCAGCTTTTCCAGTCTTGCCAGTTTGGATTTGACATAATTTCTGTTCAAATGTAATTAATCTGATAACATTTTTAAACAGAATGTAACGATATGCAAATCTCTCAGTACAATATTTTCATGATATGAATCACATGGTACAATATTTATTGCATTACACTACTTATCCCAAGAACTAAGATTCAAAAGTGCTTAGAAGAGTTATTTCTTCATGTAATACGCACTGAAGGAGCAAAGGATCATGGTCTCTGTAGATCCCTCAGTTTTTTTATCTATTGTTGCACCATAACTATTAATTTAAGACAAGAGTTTTGTAATTTGATATATTGTGATGACCATTACTGTAAGACCTTTGATGATATCATGATATTTCAGTTAGTGACATCCCTAATTTTTAGCACAACTTAGTTTCCTTAGTTGTAACTCTCACCTCATGGCCACGTTGCTCCCGTCGATTATAATGTTCCGCAGCGCCTCTTTACCCGGGCTGTCTGTCAGCCTCAGCTCAAACCGCGTGTTAAGTCCTTCAAGAAACCTCTGCTCTCCTGTTACCACTACCGCCCCCTGCTGTCCTCTTCTGTCTCTGCCCCAGTCATTTCCATTCACATGAGGATTTTGTGGTCTTGTTGAACTATAGTTCGGTTGATTCAAAGTCTGGTGGTTTGGAAAATGTTGGCTACTATTTGAATCATAACTTGACAATGGAGGTCCACGGATATTATCGGCGAAAGCATTTTGTTGTTTTGGTTGCTTGTGTTGTTTTGCCTGTTGTGTTTGACTTCTATTACCCCAAATTAAATCTTCTCCAGTGTTTTGTTGCCTTGGCAACGCCCCACTTTTCTCTTCCCTGCTTTCCTTTGTGACATTTTGCTTATTAATTCTTTCTTTGGCATCGATCACAACATCGTCCATCTCTCTTGGACCCTCTTTCAAATATCCATTCTGTTTTGAATCTTTCCTTTGCAGCTCTAAAAGTAGCTGGTGCATAGATTGGTCTGGTTGCTTGCTGTATACTTCGGTAACCTGCTTTTCATTGTAGCCACAGCTAGCCGCCGCTTTCTTTAGCACGCCAAACACGAAATCCTCATCGTGCAACTCGCCAACTCCGCCAATCGCGCCATTTCCATCGTCATCATTGATAATTTCTTTTTTCTTACTTGTTTTCACTCCATACTCTCTATGCTCTGTCTCGCAAGGCTTATTACTCAAGTCTTTCGCTGCGGCTTCACCTTGTGTTAAAACCGCACCTTGCACCTCCCCATCTCTTGCCGCTCTGTCAGTTCGATCTTGCTCCTGTTGAACCAAGTCCAATATTTGCGACGCCTCCTGCAGTCCAGTTTTAGCTAGCACACGCTGCACCACATCTTCTGTGTAACCCATAGCAGTAAAAAACTTCAACAAAAGCCAGAATTCTTTGCTTCCTGACAACTGCGCAAACTGTTTTTCGTCTTCGTCATTGTTCGGTAGTATCTCTTCATCGCCAACTTCTTGCGGAGATTTTGCATTTACTTCTGTACCCACCAGGCTTCCTCGTAGTCTTTCAGATTCTCCAAAGCTATCGAGGAAATTTGCAGAAGCGTCCTTTGCGTAACTACTACTACTGCTACTCTCCCCTAAAGAAAGAATAGACTTATCCCATGTACTGTCTTGCTTTGCCCCATCTGCTTCCAGTGGCCGTGGGTTATCTCCAAGTCTTGCCTCTTTGATTAATTCCAACAAACATTCCTTAATAGCCCCAGGTAAAACCAGCAGGTCCAGCGTATGTCTGTCGTCCCATTGTTCCACCAGGTTTTTGAAGGCCCTTCTCGACTCCAGGGACTCGCCTAAGACTCGTTCCCCGGGATCGAGGCGCTTCGGCTGGGTAGAGTCGCAGCGCTCCACCAGGTCCGTGATCAGGGAGTAGGCCCTCACCACCGGCTCCAACAGACCAGAGATTAGCAGACGCCCCGGAGAACCAATCTGGAATTAGAAGGAATAGTTCAGAATCTTATAATGAAAGGGGAGCTGTGGGTGAACTTAAGCCTGGTGTCCACTGCACGATAAAAATAAAAAGCGAAAAGCATGTCTTATTCTGTATTCCGTTGAGCCATACACTAACCAAAACTACAAGTACTATTCAAACTACATACTTTAATTTCATTTAAAATGGTTTGCACTGGTCCAAAGTTATTTATGCGTTCTGACCATCCCAATTATTCACTATGATGAGCTTATAAACTTTCTTCACAACTGTCAGAGGCAAAAGTGGAGTTTTTCTAACATGAACTAGCATGCTAACCTTGCACCTGCATTATTTCCTGATTTGCCATTAAAAAATTTTTTTATTCATGTATGTGGACAACACACAGCAGTCTCATTCTATATATGAACTACTATAACACTATATGGTAAACTTTTAGTTTTTTAAATTACATTGTATTCATATCTAAAATCACTGTGATTGGTCTGTGATAGGTTCGCAGGTTTTACACAGAACAAGACTCCATGAACCCAAAGGGAGGGCATGTGACACAAACGGACATTTCAGAACATGTTTGTAGAGGTTGAAACTACAGGGTTAGCCGCTTTAACACAGAATAATAAGGGACATTTAGTTCTCATAGTGGACATAAAATAAGATTTGCAAGGCCTATGAGATTCACAATGCCTTTTCTGATAGCCTTTAATCTTGTAGCAAATATTATGATAGCTATTTTAGGGAAACTACATGCCTAATAGTACAGCACAATAGAACCCACATGACCATGTTCTCACAGGCTTTTTCTGTCCCTGTGTGAATTCATAAGAGACACGCCCATTTGTCTTGTGTCCGGTGACAGTGACTCTGTGATTCACATTGACTCAACTAAAATTATGAAGCAACTTTGAAATTGACCAATCATGTATTTTTTGCAAGGAAATAATATCACTTGTCTTACTTGACTCTGCTGAGATGTTACTGCTTTGTCAGAAAAGCTCCATACTATAGTATTTAAGATACAGTCACTAGTGCTCATTTCATTATGGGTGTTTTCATTGTTTGAAAAAATTGATATTTCTGCAAAATGTGTCTTGTCACTAGGGTTGGGTATTGTTAGATTTTTTTCAATACAAGTATTAATAATACCGTCTTTTCGATACCAGTTCCCCAAATGATTCTTTTTCTGGTGCCTGTAAAGTGTACATTAATGGCAAATATTATTACAAAAATAATAATTGAATTACATTCTAACTACAGTAATTCATATTTTAAAACATAGTGCTAAATTATACAATATTCAGTTATAAGTAAAAAAAAAAAGCATTGATCCTCATGTGGACTCATATACACTTTTGTTTCACTTTTGTTTTCTTTGTATACACAAAATAAGTCCACTGTGTACTTTCTGCATCTAATTTTCTATTATTCTATGTTTCTATTATTGCATGCTAACAGCGCACTCTCTCAGAAAGTGCACTGTTAACATGTTACTTGTTATCTTTAGTGTCTTGGCAAAAAAGTCCTTGTAAACTCATCGTGGTGAATAATTAGGATGCTCAGAATACATAAGGTAAGTGAGGAATAATTTTGGACCACTGCAAACGGTTCTGTTTTTTCGCGTTTTTAAGATAAGATGGTAAATCCACTACACTACTTTAAAGTAAACATATACATTTGTCCCGTGCACTTGAACGCACCACGATGAGCGCAGACGTGTTCCGTATGAGGCAGTCCATGAAGAGGCCACGGGCTCCACAGAAAACACAGTGCAGTGTCAAAGGGTACGGCACCTCCTTCTGTTCCTCCTGGTTCACTACGCCCTTCACAAACAGCTGCAAAACACACATACAGTATTACAATGAGTGTTTTGATAATGGCATAACATCAGATGGAGGGAAGGGCATGTATAACTCTAACTCTATGGAAGAAAGAATTGTCCAAACTTCTGATCCACAAAAGCTGAACCCTTCTCAAACAGAAAACAAAACCAAACAAAACCACTGTTCCACCTTGTAAAGTCATGTGGTAATACAGGAAGTGCTCCAATGTGCTTTTAAACTCCATACACCTTCACTAGAATTATCTGGATAATTTCAGCCCTGCCAATCGCTACTAAACTAAAGATAAAAGGTAGCTGTCAACTTGAAAACTACCGCTTCATGACATCACAATGTGGAACAGAGCATTTTTAGCTTTGAAGATGTAGACAGACAAATAACACAGCACTACTCAAACATGTGTGAATGAAACAAAACACAACTCCTGGTATGTTTTCGATGATGTAACAGCATTATAAACATGGCTTAAAGCTCACAAGAGTCAGTTTTACATAATATAGGATCTTTAATCTTATGTCTTAAAGTCCTTTCAGCTAACAACAATCATGTCTTTGGGTTGAACAATGGTACCACTTTCTGAAGCTATTTTGAAAAAAAAAAATTCCACTTCTGTTTATATATGCTGACAGAGAAGATCTTGTGAACTTTGTGCCAGTGTTTGTTTCATGTGGATAGTCCCAGAATTCATCATAAACCAAAGTTAACAAATCTACTATTTTGACAGTTATAAGGCAAATTCACTGTTATCCAGATGTGAGTTAGATTTGCAACAATGTATATCACTGTACTAGAGTTTCCAGTGCCTATAAGAGCTTATGTTTTTGTTAAATGATATACAACTGACATCTACGTACTCCCTGTTCTATTTGAGCACGTGCAGCGTTTCTGATATGTACAGAAATGCCAGCCTTATATGTATATTCTCTGTACCAAGAGTTCATCTGTAGACACCCATTCTACTCATTATCATAAGCTATAAATGCTGATGGTCTCTTGTCTGGGCCTCTGGGACGGCTCACGAAGATATAAAATGGAGCATCCTGATATTATTAAACCTCTACTACGTAACTATTCATCTGGCTATCGAGTCCATTCTTATCAACCATATTTTCTAAATAAAATTCACCATAGATTCTAGTCGAGGTGCACAGTACCAGTCAAAATGTCTACTTTATTTTTAATTATTTTATAGACTGAAGACAAACTTCACTGATCTACAAGGAAAATTATTTGGAGACAGTAGCTCACACATTACAATATAATATATATAACAAAGAGAAAACAATGTAAATGGTAATAATACGTTGAAAATAAGTAACAAAAATAGCAAGGACAAGAGAGAAAGGTCAAATAAGGCATAATTATATAAATCTATGTGTACAAGTAAAAATTAAATAAAATACAGAAATAAGTAATGAAAATACTTTATTGTGATCTGCTGCCACTCTCTGAGATCAGAAAGATGCTTTCAATCGTACAATTTGTAACATTTTAGCACAGTTCATGTTTCATTTTGATGGCAGAGATCTTATGTAACACTGCAGTAACTCAAGAAGATTTTCATTTTCATTTTGACTGTCCACATTCATGCTTTGGGCCAAGGTGGAGATGCCTAGTCATCCAAAAACAACAACAGGAGACACGAAAACATAAACAAGGATTAAAACTCAAAGCTTTGTCTAGGCCTGTCACGATAACACTTTATAGTTCAATAAAACTTCAGTAAATATAACAATAATGAAAGCTGAGAAAAATACATTTTGGGGCTCAAAATTTAGAGTATGTGTACAATTTCTTAGACTAAGACAAACATTATTGATCCATAAGGGAAATTACTTGGACACAGTAACTTGCACATCACAATATAATCTAATAACAAAGACAAAAAATACAAAAATAGCAATAAGAAAATGGCTGCAGTGCTCGCATTAAATACACTACTGACCATCTAAGTTTAGGTTTCTGCACGCCATGTGCCTTTACTTTTATGTACATTGGTTTAATTGAGCTTTGTTTAATACCAGTGTCTTGCTATTTTTGCTCCTTATTTTCAATTATTACCATTTATATATGTTTTTATTATTACCATTTATACATTTTTTCTCTTTGTTATTATATTCAACAAATAAATATCCATAAAGTTTGTCAAAAGGCTACAGGATGTTTCAGTCTTAAACGATTTTTAAACATGTGACAAAAAGCGTACACCACAGACATGAGGAGAATTTTATGAGATTTTAAGTCTAGACAGGTCTAAAAGTTGTGAGTGCATCTCACTTCAGCTGTCTCCTGTCTAAAGTAAAACTATTTGCTTTGAGTGTTCAAAAGATCGGAGCTGTACTTCTTGTACTTGTACTTCTAATTTAGATGCAAGTCAAAACTGTCTTGTTGTGAAATGTGGTGCAGTACTTCAGATACATGATTTTTAGAAGGTTGGCTCTACCTGGAATGTTCCACAGTATGACATTAAACAGCTCTACATTACAATTATTCAATTACAGGTGAAAATACCTAGAGCATGCTTTCTGAATGTGAGCAGGGTTGCCTCATCACAGATCTGACTTGTAACTTGATCTGTTTTGGTCTCCATGATTATAGAAAGGTTTAAGGCAAGGCAAGGCAAGGCAAGTTTATTTGCATAGCCCAATTCGTAAACAAAGCAATTCAAAGTGCTTTACAGAATAAGAAATACATTAAAATCACAATACAAACAAATCAAAACATAAACAATCAAACAATTAAAAAGAGAGAGACATTAAATGAGAAAGAAGAGTGAAAACCTTTCAGTCATATGTGTAGCTAACAGATGCATGCATCAAAGTAGAGGCCTGTCTCACATACTCAGGAAGACTGTTCCAGGTTTTAGCTGCATGAATCTGAAACTCTGACTCCCCTTGTTTAGTCCTGACTCTGGGCACCAGCAGGCGATGGGTCCCTGAGCTCCTCAGAGTGCGAGATTGTTCATATGGCATTAACATGTCGCAGATGTACTTTGGTGCTCGGCCATGGAGAGACACATGCAGAATCACTTTAAAGTCTACTCTCTGGGTGACAGGGGGCAGCGCAGAGAAATGAGCGCAGGACATCCAGGTTCAAGTCAGCACCCAAGCTGCAGCATTATGAATGCACTGCAGATGTCTCACAGTTGTCTCACACGCATAGATAAATCTCTCCACGTCTGCATTAGACAGTATAACTTTGATTTTACTATGTGTTTTAGATGGTAAAGCTACATAACATTGATTTGATGTGGCTGTTAAAGTTCAAGTCTGAGTTCATTATTAGCCCTAGATTTCTAGCCTGATTTAAAGGTTTTAGAGAGAGACACTGGAGGTGACTGCTGACACTGTCTCTTTGTTTCTGTAGGCCAAAGACTATGACTTCTGTCTTGTCTGAGTTTAGTTGTAGAAAGTTGTTTTTCATCCACACACTGATCTGTTGGATGGAGTGGCAGAGTCACTCCACTAGTCCATAGCTCCCTGCTGCAGTGAATCATAGATCTGTGTGTCATCTGAAACAGTGTTCAGTTGAAACAGTCTGGTAAATTTGTCCCTCTTCCTTAGGTCTATGTTAGAAAGAATTCCACTGATGAATGTCTTAACCTCCACTTAATAAAAAATTTACTGAAATTCCTTTTCAAGATTTCACTCCGTTCCATTCTGATGTCCAGTGCCTCTATGTGCACAATCAGCTGTTTAACCCTTTTTGGCAGGAGTTTTGTAATCTCAGAAACTGTGTAACTGAGGTAGCAACATGTTTGGATTCTTCTGTAGCTCAGATCACCGATAGCTCCGTCTCCTAGCAGTAGCGTATATCTGACCTTGACACGCTCTTTTGCATTGTTCTTGTTCATTCATTTTCTGTTTGTGCCTTCTCATCAACTCTATTGTGGTGATCAAAGACAATTCTAATATCATTATATCACTTGTTGTTTTGGCTTAGCATTTTGGTTAGTGCAAAGTTTTGGAAAAAAACACAGTATCACTCAGGTTTAAATTGAAAGTTTTTGCGCCCTGTTCTCTGGAAATAACTGTGGACTGCTCACCACTGGAAGTCATTGGTAGTGTATGATAAAGTCCTTGTTCAAATATCTGTGCTTGGAGCTCATTATTTTCTTGTTCACAGTTCCGGCAGTGCTCACAGATAGAATTTCCTTGGTTTCTTCCCCCCGACATGTTGCTGGCCCGTCAGATGATTTGTTAAAAAATGTAAAAATGGTGTAAAAGTCTTGGTTTACTTGAAAGAAAATCAAAAGTAGACACACTGTCTGGTTTTGGAGAAGGTAAAATGATTAAAAAGCAAAGAAAGAAGGAAATAGCAGGAACAAGCACAGGTAGCATCCACACTCTTCAGAACAGGAGAGCTATACTGTGAAACATTCCAGACAAAGCAATAATACCTCCATGAAGAAAAGCATTTGATGGACCTACCACCAGAAAAGACAATGCACCTTTAATAAAGCTTTAATAAACTCTTACTTTAGCTGCCTGCACGTCACTGTGGAGTCCTCGCAGCTGGAGCCATATTTGTCCGTGTGCGTCTTGGGGCGGTTGGTCGGTGCCGATGGAGAATCTGACCCTGAAAATGCGCTGGACGGAGGAGTGGAGAGAGGAGAGAGACCCCCGGAGCATCCCTGGACACGTGAACTCATCCTCCTCTTCCTCTGAACGAACACTGTCCATCTCTGAGCACTGGGTCACCACGGCAACATGCTGAGGAGACAGAGAGTATGTGTCATGGGAGGTTATGGGTTAAAGGGCGTCTGATCTATGTTATACTGTTGGTTCCTCATCAAAAACAGACCTGAAGTAGTGTTTTGTTTCATTCACACATGTTTAACGCACAAACCCTTCATATTTAGCCTGAGTTCTTCACAAAACACTCTGATGTCATGTGGTAATACAGAAGTGCTCCACTGTGTTTGTAAACTACATAAACCTTCACTAGAATTATTTGGATCATTTCCACCCTGGTATTTCCAATGTAATTAAATCTAAAGGTAGACATTAACTTGAAAACCACCACTACATGACACACAAGGTGGAACAGAGCATTTTGAGCTCTGGAGATGTACACAGACTAATAAATAAAGCACGACTCCAGGTATGTTTTTTTTAAAGTAACAACATTATAACATGGTTTAAAAGTGCATTATGTAACTTTTCTGGTGTAGGGTCCGTCAAATGCTTTTCTCCATATATATGTTATTGTTTTGTCTGGAATGTTTCACAGTGTGGTATTACACCTTTCCATCTTCATGGAGACCAAACTAGAGCAAGTTACAGGTCAGATCTGTGGAAAGGCGATTCCCCTCAGAGTCAGAATACCTGTTTTTCTGTTTTTGAGCTATAAAACCACCTGTAATTGAATAAATGTAAAGGTAGAGCTGTTTAAAGTCATACTGTGGAACATTCCATGGTATATCCATAGAAGCGAACCCCCAACTAAAAAGTTGTATAGTGCACATTTAAAGCTATAGGACCTGTAGTTAACACAGTAATAAAATGATATAAGGAAGCAGTTTCAAGTTACAAGATAAAAGATACAATTACTGGATCTCTGAGTAAAACAACAAAGACCTTTTCCTCTTGTTTTAATTGGGCCTTGCCCAAATACAAGCATCATAACATCTGCTGATGCAGTGATCTACTGTATGTTACTGTAAAAGGAATTAAACAGGAGCTCAGGTTTTCCCCATTTCATTTCTCGCATTATTCAAACCTGATTGGGACTGAGTAATACAAAAACAATAACTGATTTGTTCCTCATTGATTTTATTTTGTCTTATTAAAAACTGATCATAAACAAGGTATCTTTAAGCACTGCTATTTAACACATGCTTTTACTGATAGAGGATTGGCTGATGTACTTTGTTTGCTGCGGATGTTCTACGTGTATCTCTAATGGTAAAATGTTTGACAGTTACCATGATGACACAATGCAGACACATTACCAAACACTGCCAAAAAAGTTTTAAGGTAGTATCAAGAAAACTGAAGAAAAAAATAACAGCACATTTTCAGGAGCCTGTGACCGATACCTGCCTTCATGGTTCTGTTTAGAAGTTAAGAAAAAGGTGTGAGAGGTGTCAGACACAGCAGAGCCTACAGTTAGCATCACACCTCCGGGGAATGTTAATAACACCAACTGATATGTATCAGTTCTATTTGTACAGTTTTGTGTAATGAAAATGAGCTGCCTGTTATTACTAAATGAAACACCAAATGAGTCATAGAAGTTGTTTATTCAACCCCCTACAGCTCAAAAATTACCATGGAGCAGAAAAATTACAAAAAGCTCTCCCTTACGAGAAAGAAAAAGTACATACCGGTATAATAAATACTGACCCCAAAAATAACTGTTCTAGCTGTCATGTTTTGAAGTCGATAAAGCCACTATCATGACAGGCCTAGTTAGTGTCTTCATATATATTGCCATTAGAGACACCCCCGTATTTGTCTCCATGGAGATGTTATAGCTAATTGCCTGGAATGTTCCACAGTTTGGCATTCAACTTACCTCCTGTCATGTAAACTGGTGAGCTGGTGACATAACCAGGCCAAGTTACACCTAGCAAATCTGTGGAGCGATAACTCCCCACTCGAAGAAAATATGAGTGCATGCCAATACATTATGCCATACTGTGGAACATTCTAGGCAAAATTTCAGTTGGTTTAGTCTCAAATGATCACAATGATGAATGAGTGAAATGATCAGTAAATACGATTATCTCTATATTAAAATCATATTGTGAAGTTTTGTCTAAACCAAAATAGATACACTTCATAATAATTTCTCAAACAAAATGTCATTTTCTTATTTTTGGTTGAAGGGTACCCTTATCTCTTCAAAGCTCAAAAAGCTCAAAATGCTGTTTCATCTTGTGATGTCATGAAGCAGTAGTTTTCAAGTTAACAGTTCCTTTTACCTTTAGTTAAGCAGAGATTGGCAATTCTTGGTCTGAAATCATCCAAATGACTCTAGTGAAGGAGTAGGGAGTTTAAAAACACACTGGAGCAGTTCTTGTTTCACGACATTAGATCACAAGGTGGAACATGGTGTTCTCAGTTTGAGAGAAGAACTCAGCCTAAATCTGCAGAATGTGTGTGTTAAACATGAATGAAACAAAACACAACTCCAGGTCTGTTCATAACGAGGAAACAACATTATAACAAATCAGAAAATAGCATAATGAGCCCTTTAATATTATGTTTATTTTATGTAACTTGTCATAAACACCGTGCAAAGTACAATGTCAGTATGTTTACACAGCTCAGCTCTAATATTAACTACAGACAGGTTCTGCATTTTGTTTAGTTTGCTAAATACTCAAATTATGTTTATAACTTAAACAAATGTGTAAACAAAGTAAAGTCTTTAGCTAGAAGTTCCGCAGACACACAAAGCTTCTTACCCAGGAACAAGATGTGCTAGTTTAAGTTTTAAGATTCTGTTTGTTTTTGTTTTTGTTGAAATGTTAAATATGATACATTTTTGACAGGATTTAGCAAGAAGGTTTTACAAACGATCATAGCAGCTACGTTAATGTGTTCCTGTTTGCTTCAAATGAGGAAAAGACATTACAATTACGCGTATTTAGGTGAAAAACGCGTATTTAAGTCGATATAAACCAACAAAACATGCTTTAATTGCGTTGTTTAGCTACTTACTTTGTTCGACTCAAGCTCCAAAGTTTCGTTTCTGAGTCGTTTCTTTCTGTGGGCGCTCTGCTCTACTGCTCACCGCATTCTTCTTCCGCAATCCAAAAACACAACAACACGTGAACGGGGCCAAAGTTCGTACAATGAAAATAAAAAATGCGTCTTTTCAAACAACGCAATCCTTATCGTCGTGTTTGGGAGTACAGCCAGGAGAAGGAAGCCGAGGATGGACAAATAATTTAATCACGAAAAAAATGTACCGAGGCAAAAACGAAACTAAAGCTAAAGTACGCGGAGTGCGCTTTGGAGACGATAACGCACGCTTCCCAAGATAACCATAGGAGAAAAAAAAAAAAAAAGCTTTAAAAGTAAGCAACTTCTTTCTAACTTCTTCAGTGGAGGAAAACGTGAAGAGGAACACTTTCCATACAATACAATGGGGAAATTCAGAAAGCCACAAAACAAAAACTGTAATTCAAGAGGGGTTTTCAAAGTGTAATCTCTAGATGCATGTACGTGATAACAAAACCTGGATGTGTGTATCTGACATTATTTCATTTGTAATACAATGTTATTATAGATACTTTTTATTTTATTTCAAAGAGCCCTTATACCATATTACGCTATTTTCTGGTCTATGTTATGTTGTTTAGGTTTAGAGTTTAGGAATTCTCAGATAGAAAACATTCAGTGCCACCTTGTGATGTCATCTGGCTGTATAGTATGTGCTGTACTGTGTTTTATAGTCCATACATCCATCATTAGGATGATTTCAGATCTGGAATTTCTAATCTCTACTAAACAATAAATAACGGATAACTGTTATTTTTAAATCTACTGCTTCATGACGTCATAAGGTGGAACAGTGCATTTTGAGCTTTGGAGATGTAGACAAACTAATAATAAAGAGTTCCTCAAACATCTATAATATGACTGAACCAGCATAACACTGATCCTTCAAAATGGAACTTGTAGAGTCATAGTAGGGACGAGCTGGAATGTATTTTTGAGCCGATATTGGTCTGCTGCCATGGCTATAACCAATAATAATTTACATTTGATTATTAATTATAAACAGACTGACCCAAAACACTAAGTTATTTTATTCTCTCTGGTCTGGTCTCTGTCAATATACTGCAAAGGTATTATTCTAAGTGTAATGCAGGAGGAGGTTGAGTCTCTTTAAAGGCAGTGGGGATTTCCAGCTACGTCAAAAGCGCAGTTTCAGTTTTTTCTGTTTTCACGATGAGCAGCTACTGAAATGACTCACTGGTTTTTGTGGAGAAAGTTCTAGGCTACGTGTTTTGATTGAACTCACTTATGAAGGAGGGACTTGTAATCCTGTAATTTCACTGTATTTTCCATGACACATTTTCAAAAAGAGAAATCTGCAAATGTTCACATCTGAAAGATTATATTTTTCATATCCCTGTTTAAAGGTACATTGTGTAACTTTTCTGGTGGAGGGTCCATCAAGTGTTTTTCTAGATGGAGATGTTATTGCTTTGTCTAGAATGTTTCATAGCAATAATGTAGAGCTGCTTAATGTCATACTGAAGAACCTTCCAGGCAGAGTAATGGCATCTTCATATATAAGCAGGTGATGGACCCCTAACCAAAATGTTACACAGTGCACCTTTAAATTACACATGTGTAGCCTATGCTGTGATGTCATCTAAAACTCAACAATAAGAATGACATAATCTGCAAACAAATAAAAGTACACAATTTCTAAATTAAATTACTCTCAACTGGGAAACTTTACTCTATGTAACTTTTCTGTTATTTCTGTTATTTATGTAGATGTTATTTCTTCACCTGGAATGACCCATTTTTATTTGCTAAAACATGTATTCATACTGTGAATGTCTTATCCCTGCACTGATCTGACCCATAACTTGGCAGGGTGGTGTCACTTGTGATGTCACCTGCTTATCTCCGTGGAAGTAAATACGTTTAATTTAATTTACAGCCAGTAAGACCCTATAGTAGAAAGTCATGTGAACTTCTATGAGATATGAGCTGTTAACATCTAACATATTTAGATCACCATGTTACCTTTTATTGTTTTGAAAATGCTTTCAGTTGTGTTTTTGATACAGCGAGTCTCCCCTCCCTTTGCTCTGTGCTAAGTCACTCCTCCTTTAGAGTGACATCACAGCACAATCAGATTCATTCATTCATTCCACTAATGAAATGACTGCACATTGCATCAGATTTGTGAAGTTGTAGAGAATTGTTTTGTATCATGCTTTTGCATATTTAAGGTAATATCTGTGCAGGAGCATTGGTGATGAAGACTTGTGGGCGGAGTTTTGTATAGGATTGTACTGTTAACTGATGGTTTGGGAGAGATTGCTATATTACTCAAACATGCCTGGATGACATCTAAAACCTTTTTAGGCAATTGATTTGGTTTCAGTGTGGTAACAACATTATAACACTGTAGGAAGCTGAAAGTAAAAATGTTAATTGCTGTGGCAACCATAGACTGTATAAAGAAGTGGACTAAGGGAGTGTGATGTCACCCATAGTGTTCGGCTCGAGCCAAATGAAGCTCATGAGCCTAGCAGTTATAGTTGGTGTAGGAGTTCCATATTAGTAAGAGGAACTGATTTACAGACAAATGTTCACTTATTGTTTATATAGTCTATAATGGTAAGCTTGTGTTTTTCTATCACTGTGAGACCCATAGGTTGGATTGAATCAAAAGGTATTTCGAAATCCTTTACAAAGAGATACCACAAAAAGGTACACAACTAAAGGTAAACAACTAAATAAAATGAAACAATTTTTTTTTTTTCTCCAGATGAGGGAAATTGATCTCTTGCGTAGCCTGTTGCCACACTTTTGTGTGATGACGTCACATTTTTTACAGCGCTTTTCAGCCATTTTATTAACTTCCTGTTGAGATTCTGGGATGCACCCTGCACGTTTCACTTCTGCTTCTGCTGCTTCTTTCTCATAAACTATAGGAACTCTCAATAAACTACAGTCAGCTCAGAGACAAGGTAAGTGATTTAAGTTTTCCTCGTTTCATTTAAATATTTGTTTATTCATAACAATAGTAATTGTTTTTTGTCTCGCCTTATACTTAACTACACTACAATGTACTGTTACTTAAAGTTGTATGATTATTATTACAACTGCGTTTGCAGTTTTGGCTACTCAATTTGTGAAATATTTGTAAATATTACTTCAGTTATTTTTCTTCAACTAAACAAAGACTCAAGGTCCTACATTACACCAAATTGACTCTTGTGAGCTTGAAGTCATGTTATAAAGTTGTTACCCCTTGAAAAACATACCTGGAGTTGGGGTTAGGGTTTTGTGGTTCAAATGCTACTGCTGCTACTACAACTTCAAAACCTAAACCTAGAAAACACTAGTTTAAGATTATATATTATTGTTGAAAGTTGAATGTAAAGATGGGGTTAAACCAGAAAGTAAAATTATAAAATAAGTCACCACAGAATCTTTTCAAAGAATGTAACTCCTGGTGTCATGCTTTCATTGTAAAGATAAATTATAACCAGTAACTCAAACATCAGCCAAGTCCACCTGTATAAGTACTACTACTACTACTATTACTATTTTTACTGCTGCTACTGCTACTACTACTACTAATCAAGGGTAATTTTTATAATTGTATAATTGTATAACTACTATTACTACTACTATTACTACTAATTCTGCTACTGCTGCTGTTACAAGCTAAAGTGATTCAAATATTACTACTACTATCACTAATACTACTACTACTACAAAACTAAAGTGGTTCAAATATTACTACTACTACTACTACTACTACTACTACTACTACTACTACTACTACTACTACTAATGCCACTACTACCACTGCTACTACCTGCAGTATACCTCATATTTTGGCACACTTTCATGAACATAGCAGCAGGTCTTTAGTGCGAAAAAGGCAAAGTACGGTTTTCATAATGAAACATGTTGTCCCCATTGTGGTCTGTGTAACATCTCAGCACAAAAACATGTACTGTAATTTCAGCATTAAAGGGCTCATATTACACAATTTTCTGGTCTATATTACAATGTTGTTTCCTTTTCACAAACATACCTGGAGTTGTGGAGTTTTTTTTTTTTCATTTGTACATGTTTAACACACAAACCCTGTGTATTTAAGCTGAGTTCTTCTCTCAGAAATGAAAACACTCTGTTCCACCTTGTGATGTCATGTGGTGATACAGGAAGTGCTCCACTGTGTTTGTAAACTCCATACACCTTCACTAGAATTTGGATAATTTCAGCCCTGAAATTGCCAAACTCTACTAAACAAAAGGTAAACAGTAGCTGATAGCATGAAAACTTCTGCTTTATGACATCACAAGGTGTAACAGAGCATTTTGAGCTTTAGAGATGTAGACAGACTAATAATAAAGGATTACTCAAACATGTGTGAATGAATTATAACATGACTTAAAGCTCATGAGAGTCAATGTCGTGTAATATAAGACTATTATAATCATGTTAGAAGTTTGTGGAACATTCCAGAAAGAGCAATAACATCTCCATGGAGACAAGCTGGTAATAGGAAGTAAGCTCTTCACTAGAAAGTGGTTCAAATGCTACTGCTGCTACCACCACCGCTACTAATACAGAACTAAAGTGGTTCAAATACTACTGCTGCTACCACTACTACCACTACTACAAAACTAAAGTGGTTCAAATATTACTGCTGCTACCACAACTACTACTACTACTACAAAACTAAAGTGGTTCAAATACAACAACAACTACTACTACTACTACTACTATTACTACTACTACTACTTCTACTACTAAACTAATGTGTTTCAAATACTACTACAAATACTGCAAAACTACAAAGTGGTTCAAATACTACTGCTGCTACCACTACTACCACTACTACAAAACTAAAGTGGTTTAAATACTACTGCTGCTACCACTACTACTACTACTACTACTAAACTAATGTGGTTCAAATACTACTACAAATACTACAAAACTACAAAGTGGTTCAAATACTACTATAATAATAGCCTACTATTACTAATAATAGAAGTAGTATTTGAACCACTTTAGTAGTAGTAAACCAGACTTAATCCTCAATAAACCTGGAAAAAAGTAGTTTAAGATTCTACATTATTATTTGAAAATTTAATTGCATGGCTAAACATTCAGTAGTATTTAATATGGATTTAACTTACACTTAGAGAAACTCGATTTATCCACAAGGGAAATGACTTGGACACAGTAGCTCACGCATCACAATATATAATAATAACAAAGAGTACAAAAATTCAAAAATGGTAATAAAACATCTATAATAAGTATAATAATTTTAAAAAATGTAATTGGCATCAAATAAGACATAAATGCTATAACTGTAAACTTATAAGTAAGTAAAAAACAGACATTGTAATATAAACACAGAATACCACTCTTACATACAAGAGGTCGTAAGGAAACAGTGCAAAGATGACATGATGATTGACAGAAACACAGGTTTAGCTGTTACATAAGGGTGAGTTGTTGTACATCTGTATGGAGTATGGTTTGAATGAAATCCTGTATCTCTCTCTGTTTGAGCGGAACTGTAGGAGAATGCTGATTTTTGTTGTAATACAGGAAGTGAAAGTGTTTATTCTCAACATTTATGAATTCGCCTTTTGGATATTTCGTGGCAAAGTAGAATGTAATCAACAGAGAAAACTGGCTCTTGCCCCTCTGTCTGTGACTATGACATGATCTCATTCTATACTCTGAAAACCATTGATACAGATGACTTATTGGCTGTGTTGTTTTGTCTCTCAGTGAGCAATGGAGCTGATCAGCTGCTCTGCCCCGGTCCTGGTGAAAGAGTCCTGTCTGGAGGCCTGGATACGGATTGGCTCTGGGGGGTTTGGTCAGATTTATAAAGCCAGACACAAGAAACTCTGCTGCGAAGTGGCCATCAAACTGCTGCACTATGACGACGGGTGAGTGTGTCAGATGCCCCCCCATTCTCCTGTGTGTCAGATGCCCTACCATCCTTCTATGTTCCTGTGTTACATTCCACGCTTTTACAATATACTCAGATGTTTTTATTCCGCACTCTTCATTCTTCTCATTTAATGTTAATTTTATGATGATTATTGATGTTTGATTTGTTTGTATTGTGATTTTATTGTATTTCTTATTCTGTAAAGCACTTTGAATTACTTTCTGTACAAATAAACTTGTCTTGCCTTGCCTAGAGGGAAAATTTCCAAGAATAATGTTGAGTTTGGTTTAATAATTAACTAAAATAATGCTTGATAGACATTTTAAAGAGCATTTATTCATATTTTGTTTGCCACCAGTGGATTTTTGGTATATTTGTTTTCATTTGTGCCAAATGGCTACACAACGCTGCTGAAAACTAGTACAAACAACAACAAACAACAAAGTAAGAGAACAATTGGCAGAGTATGGAGGTTAGAAGAAAACAAGGACTTTTGAAGCAATGGCACCTTAAATACAGGAGAATAAAAATTACTCAAACATTCATGAGTCACTCTAAACTATAGAGCTTACCACGTTCCAAATAAGAAGAAAGTATGGCACGCTTCCAGCTCCATCGACTCTGGCTCTAATTCACTTTCTACTGAAAACACTGTCACCCGTCTGTCTGTAACTGCTGCAGTGAGCCTTGTCATTTTGGTCATAAAATGTTCACATTAACCTGCGCTACATGATCCTGACTCTAATTGTCAACCAGATGCAAATTCACTGCTATAAATGCTAGTCTTGTAAGCTTCATTTGAGGAGCTGAACATTAAGGGTGACGTCACATGCCCTTAGTCCACTTCTTTGTACAGTCTATGCTCTAAATACAAGCTCTTAAAAGTCTTTAACCTCACTTGTTTTTGCAGGAGTGGCTCTGCGTTGCTTCGGGAGTTAGAATTGATGCGTCAGAGCAGCTGTCCCTATGTGATCCAAGTGTTTGGGGTCTTCAGAGGTCTGCCCCCTGCAGGTCAAATGGCGCGACTCGGCCTTGTCATGGAGTTTATGGAAAGGGGCTGTCTGGCCACACTACAGGTAACACACAAAGCACACTTCGCAAATGATTGCAGTTTGAGTGCAGTGGCATCACGCTGGGGGTGTTCTGCATGTATGTCAATGCTAGAATATAGAACAGTTACCATAATAACAAAAAAAACCTGAAGATTCACGAAAAAATGCTAAATGGGTTTAAACAACACATTTTCAGGAGCCTGTGATCAATACGAGTGTTCATGGTCCTGTTTAGGAGTTTGATTTTGAGCAAAAAGGTGAGAGTGACTAACTGACAAACTATTAGCTAATGTTTAAGCACACAAATAATCTCACTTGTTTCAGTTCCAGCTAAATCAACTCTTTCTGGTCAGATTGTGTTCAACTAAAGCGCAGATTAAGTCTAACTTGAGTAATGGAGCTTCTAACAGAGTTGCTCTTTTGGTTACCATCACACCCCCCCTGGAATATTGATTAAAACAGCTGTAAAGTATCACTACAGACTCCACTAACAGACATGGTCCTGTATTTGTCCAGGGCCATCTAGGTGGTGCTCCCCCCTGGCCGCTGGTCTTCAGACTGGCTCATCAAGTCGCTCTGGGGATCAACTTCCTCCACAACCTCGACCCTCCTCTACTGCACCTGGACCTGAAGCCGAGCAACGTGCTGCTCGACTCATATCTCAAAGCCAAGGTACTCGTTCTTTTATATAATGGTAAATTGTGTTGCGTGCCTGAGAAATTATTACTCAGGTTCATAAGCTGTATATATAAATGGATATAGCTAACCTGCTAGCCGCCGTGTTCCCAATAAGAAGAACATGGGGGCACTTCCGGCTCCATTGACTCTGGCTCCAGTTGGCTTACAGTGAAAAGTTGTCCACCCTCTTTGTAACTGCTGCATTGAGCCTCGTCATTTTGGTTTTAAAATGTTTGTATTAATCTGCTCTACATGATCCTGGTATTTTTATTTTGCTATTTTGTCTGTAAATAACTGTAACTGCAGCCTTGATGAGCTGACTGCAGCCGAATGCTGTGGGTGATGTCACACTCCTTTTGTCCACTTCTTTATACTATGCTCAGGTTGCAGCCAGGTGAAAATTATAATGATGAAATTCAGCCATAAGACATGTAGAATGTGATGCTAGTACAGTATAATAATAGATTAGAAGTGCACTATAACACTATTATTTTGCCTGGAATTTTCCACAGTACAGTAGTTAATGCTAAATTGACTTTTCAGGGCTTTTAACCATGTTATAGTTGTTTCCTGTCATCATTTGAAAATGAAGATGTATTTGGAGTGATTTGTGAATCTTTTCAAGATTCGCTTATTTTCAAGATGCCATTTTTTCACGATCACCAGCATATGGTCTCTGCTTTTCTGACTTTTATTTGAGCAAGTTATCAGTCAGCATCCAACTCTCCACCAGATAAGTTACATAATACCCCTTAATATTTGAGAGAAGAAATCTGAACTTTAATCTAATCCAAGAATAACATGCATTTCAGAACATGAATGAATAAAACTCATGGAGACACAGAAAGGGCATCTGACACACAGGGACCTTTAACTGTCTTCATATGGTTCTTATATATTAATGGTCTATATATTTTCTGTCTGTTTGCAGCTCACAGATTTTGGACTGGCCAAAGTTTACCACTCGTCTCGTATTTCTAAAAGGGAAAATTCATCTGAAGAGGGAACTCTGGCATACATGCCTCCAGAAGCCTTCGAACTGTCATACCAACCGACCAAGAGCTCTGACATCTACAGGTACAACAAATGAAACAGATATATAATAATTCAAGAGGGGTATTATGCAAAATCATTCATTTTTTACTTCAGATGTGATCCATGCATGTTTGAGAAATTTAGCGACCTCTCTCAGGCACTATTCAGACCCTTTTATTCACATTTTACAACTAACCGTAAGATTCTGTACAAGGCTCCGCCCACAAGCCTACGTCACTCATGCTTCCACAGAACAATTATCCATGAATATACAAAACATGACACAATACTGTACACTACAACTTAACAAACCTGATGTGATGTGCAGTAGTTTCATTAGCTGGATGCAGGCTGATTGTGTTGTGATAGCGCTCTGAAGGGGGAGTGACTTAGTGCAGAGAGCAAAGGGAGGGTAGCATCAGAGTGTCAAAAACGAAACTCCAATAAAAGGTAACGTGGTGATTTAAATATGTTATGTGTTAGCAATTAATACCTCATAGAAGGAAAAAGATGCATTATGTAACTTTTCTAGTGGTCTGCATGGAGATGTTATTGCTTTACCTGGAAAGTTTAAATGGAATTATCTCCATGGAGGCAAACAGATGACTCCACCAGGCCAAGTTACCAGTCAGGTCTGTGGATAAGAATGCATGTTTGTTTGCAATAAAAACACCTGTACTGTAAAATAAAATGTAAGATTAGCAAGTTTCATGCCATCAAGTGGAAAATTCTGGACAAAGTAATAGCATCTCCATGGTGACAAGCGGGTGATATACTCTCCACTAGAAAATTTAAGTAGTGCACCTTTAAAACCTGGAGCAAAGTCACTGGTCTAACCTTCATGTAATGATATTTTCTGTTTTAGTTATGGGATTCTGCTCTGGTCCATTGTCACTGGGAGGCATCCCTATCAACGTAAGACAAACTAACAAACATTCATTCTGTATGTGTTTCTAAAGGGCCCATATTACATTATTTCTGATGTATGTTATAATGCGGTTTCGTCATCACAAACATTCCTGGAGTTGCGTTTTGTTTCACTTACAAATTTTTAACACACAAACTCTATTTAGACTGAGTTCTTCTCTCAAACAGAAAACACTCAGTTCCACCTTGTGTCATGTGGTAACACTAGAAGTCCTCCACTGTGTTTTTAAACTCCATACACTCACTAGAATCATTTGGATGATTTGAGCCCTGGAATTGCCAATCTCTACTAAACTAAAGATAAACTATTAACATGAGGACTATTGCTTCATAACATCACAAGGTGAAACAGATTGTGATTTAATTTTATTTAATGTGATTTTCAGATTAAAATGTTGTATTTTCCACCAGATTTTCACATGAAATGCTTGAATTTTGATCAAATTTTCACATAAAAGCTTGTATTGTTCATTAGATTTTCATATTATAATTGTATATATTTTTTCACATTAAAATCTTATTTTCCATCAGATGCTATGTCGTCCATCGTGCGTCTCCGGATTCCCCTGGGTGATCGTCCATCGCTGGAGGAGATCCGCCTCCAGGCTACAGGCATTGCTGGGCTCACTGGACTGACTGACCTGATGGTGCAATGCTGGGGCATGAAATCCTCTGAGAGACCCTCCTCCTATGGTGAGCCAAAGAGTCCAAAACAGCATGACTCCACAGAGATAGATACGTTTAACGGTTTTATATTAGTCAAAATGCAATGTGGTAGTGCTGTTATTTTTTCAAAAACATACCTGGAGTTGTGTTTAGTTTCATTCACACATATTCTCAAACAGAAAACACTCTGTTTCACTTTGCAATGTGCAATACAGAAATTGCTCCACTGTGTTTTTAAACTCCATACATGTGTGATTGAAGAAAAAATACAACTGAACGTATTTTTTGATGAGATAACAACATGAAGCAAGGCTTCAAGGTGCACTGTGTAACTTTTCTGGTGGAGGGTCCGCAACTAAAAATATAATACATATCATTTACCAGGACTGTCACAGAGACTGACGTGTGAATACATATTTCAATTTTAAGTGTCCAAAAATGACTGTTCTATCTTTCAGACTGCACCCTGATGACGGAAGAGCTGTTCAAGTTACACAAACATGCTGTCAACTGTGCTGTTCTCAAAGTGCTAGACATACTGGTAAGATTCAAGTACTCTTAAAATATATAACAAAAGAAAAAATTGAAGAAATTTACTTTTCACTAGATTAAAATCATACTTTTACTCATAGTCGAGTCATATTTTTTATTGAAGCAACAGTACTCTTACTTGAGTAAAAGTTTTTGTTCCTCTTCCAAATGTGAGTAAGTGATAGAAGCTTTATGTGACAATATGAAATAATTTGAACATTTGTGTTTCCTGCACCGCTCCTTCAAATACGATTATTTTTATTTTATTTTATTTATATATATATTTTTTTTCATTTTTGTGTCTGTCCTTTGAAAATACCAGATTTTGTGCATTATTTAAAGTTTTGTCTTTCAAATTACATTAACAACAAATTATAAATCTGATGTTATCCCCTTACAGTTACTTTTTAAGTTACTGTTACTTGAGTAGTAGTTCTCCCAAATACCTTTGTACTCTTATTTCAGTAAAATTTTTAGCTACTCTTGCCTATCTCTCCACATTTGTCACTGCTGTCTTATCTTTAAAAGAGCATTATGTAAATTTTCTGGTGGAGAGTACGTCGGATTCTTTTCTCAATGGAGATTGCTATTGTTATTGCTTCGTCTGGAATGTTTCACAGTATAGTATTAAACCTTTCTATCTTTTTGGAAATCAGATCAAGTTACAGGTCAGATCTGTGGAGAGGCAACCCCACTCACAGTCAGAATGTTGTTTTTCTATGTATTTTTGAGCTATAAAACCACATGTAATTGAATACATGTAAGGTTTATTTTTTAATAAGTAAGTAATAAGTAAGATCTATTTAATGTCATTCTGTGGAACATTCCAGGCAGAGCAATGGCATATCCACAGAAGATATAAAGTGCACGTTTACGTGTCCTGAAATGTTATGATTTCTGTTCCTTTTTTCAGGACCAAACTCCCACAGAGTCTCTCATGGACCAGCTGGAGAAAGTTCAAATCACACAGAAATCGGGTCAGACATTTTATTACATGCACTGTGACTGTGTATGGTTTGGTTTGTTATGAGTGGAAATGGACACAGCAATCTAGGGATGCTTCAATATTGATACTTGAAAGCAACATTGATATTCACAGGTTTCATACAAATAATGCCTTCTTGATTTGAAGGACTTTGTGAGGACCCATAGAGGACCTTTCCCCATTCACAAAATAAAATATTTCACTTTGAATTGCTTAATGGCTATGACTACGGAGACTGAAACCCATAAATAGTTTGGACTTGTGTCATCAGGCATTTTCAGTTAGTGTTATATTAAACCAGTGGAGATTTTAAGATGTTTAGGAATTAATCTTACATTTTAAGATTGTCTGAAAAAATACCAAATGGATTTAAACAATCAATACGAGTGCCTAACAGGAAAAAAAACTAAACAAACATAACTAATGCTAACAGTCAGTACAAATCAGCCCACTTGTTGTACTTCTAACATGGTCAGATTGTGATAAAATAAAGCTCAGATTTAGGTCTAACTTGAGTAACATAGCATCAGACATAGCAATGCTTTTCAGTTAGCATCACACCAGCTACAAAGTATCAATTGAAATGACTGTAAATGCTGGATCATATGCTATGCACTATAAATGAATATGGTTTAAAATGTTGCTTTTTGTGGTTTCTTACAGTTAAAGAAGTAAATAATTGCTGCTACAATGTGAAAACAGGAAAAGGCCCAGTTCAGGTAAGAGGAAAAAAAAAATCTACAATAAAATAAAATTAAGTTACTTCTATAAATGTAATAAAAGGACTACATTATTTCTGAAAATGTCAAAACAAAACAAATCAATCAAAACAATCACAGTTATTTGGGACAATATTGCATCATTTTTAAAATGTTATTCATGTTCTTTCCAAAGGTAATCTGTAGGAAGAATAGACTTATTTTCATCTATTATACTGACCAGAAAAGTTATGCAGTGAACCTTTAATCAAAGCCCTGTAACTTCAGGTTATATTGGCTCATTTGGTGATTTTTTGAAGCTACTTTTGAAACTTAATAAAAGAAGAACTATTGTGTTTCCAATTTCCGGTTGCAAACTTCAGGGGAATTCAGGGGAAAATGGACGAACTTAGCACAACTCACTCACCTAGAATGACCCCTTAGATTTTTACAGTATCTAGAACTCTAAAACTTTAAAGTATTAAACTAAACTCTAAAGTATTACAGTACAGTATTACAGTAGTAGTACTAGCAGTAATAGTAGTAGTATCATTTGTAGTAGTAGTAGTAGTAGCAGCAGCAGCAGTAGTTGCAGTTGCAGTAGTGTCAAGATTTGTTATTTTCAGCTGCACGTCTGTGATAACCCACTAGGAGGAGCTACTATACTTGCAAAACCATGTAAGAAAATTCAACAATCTGAAGTTCTAACCGTGTATTCTTTTTTGTTGCAGGAAGTAGCTTGTTACATGAGCAAAGAGCAAAACAGACCAAAAGGTAAAAACAAAAAAACAACTAATGATGTCACGATCGTGATTAAATTCCGTTTTTTTTTTAAAGAAACCTCCAAACTTATGATTTGCAAATGCTGAACATTAACATTATTTGTTTTATGATTTGCTCCACAAAAGTGTCATATTAATTTTATGACTTGAAACACTTTTTTACTGAAAAGCTACACAGTTCACTGAGTTATAGGCCTTTCAACAATTCAAAGTTCCATTTATTAAAGGTCCTATATTTCACAAAATTGACTATTGTGAGCTTTTATGTTATAATGTTGTTACCTCATCAAAAATAAACCTGGAGTTGTGTTTTGTTTAATTCACACCTTTGAGTGATTCTGCATTATTAGTCTGTCTACATCTCCAGTGCATGTAGTGGTAGGTTTCAAGTTAAGAGCTACATTTACCTTTTGCCGTTCAGCAATTCCAGGCTTGAAATCACCCAAATGATTGTAATGAAGTTGTATGGGGTTTAAAAACAAAATGAAGCACTTGCTGTATTACCACATGACATCAAAAGGTGAAGGAGTGTTTTCTGGTTGAGAGAAGAACTAGATATGCAGGACTTTTGTGTGAAACATGTGTGAATGAAACAAAACTCCAGGTATGTTTTTGATCAGGAAACAACATTATAACATGGATCAGAAATAACATAATATAATACCTTTAATATTAGGTAAAACTATATCTGAAACATGTATGTAAGAACACATTTTATTTTATGTATTTAATTATTTATATATAATGTTAATATGAATGTTTATATGATTTTTGTTTTCTTAGATCAGTCGGTGACTTATCCAGTTTGTGTGAGTGATGAGAAACTGAGCTGCTCTAAACTGAAATCTTCATCTGTGAAACCGATCGGAGCATCCATGCCTCTTCCTCTTCCCCTTGTCTCCTCCTCCTCATCCTGCTCTTCTTCCACCTCTTCATCCAAACACAGGGTGCCTGAGGAGACCTTGCTCCCAAACAGATTCTCACAGTATCAGGTCAGTCCATTGTTCTAAATAATAATACTAGTTATTTTGTGCTGAACTGACAGTAAAGGGCGCTAAAACAAAACAATTCTTCTCTCAACATTCATATTCACATTCCTGTATATTTACACATGTGATTCGTTTGATTCACCATGCACAAAAACACATTTAAAGCCACAGTGTGTGAATTTCTGGACCACATCCCCTGTATGATGCTATGAAAATAGAAAGTTAAAACCATTCTTCAGAACACTCTCCATGGAGATAGATAAGTGTATGCCATACTGTGGAAGATAATAGCCAAAGGAGCAGCATTTCCATGGAAACAAGCAGGAGTCACGTTTGTGTAGATGCAAGTCCACTCACAGAAGGATGCAAACACAACCAAATTGCTTACATACATACTCTATTTTTGGTTTAAAAAAGTTACATATTGTGGCTTTAATTTCCTCCAAAATATAAATAGTCAGTAATCAGTCAAAGCTCCAACCACTTTATGCTATTGTTGTGTCCTTAGGCAAGACATTTCACCCACAGTGCTAAGAAGTTCTGTCAAATTGTATGTATTGTAATTTGTTTTTTCTTTTTTCTTTTCTAGCGTCAGTACTCAAGCCCAGACACCCTGCCCGCCCAACAGCCACAGCACCCCCTACCTCACATAAACATTCACTGCAGTAACGTGACAGGACTCCAGTGCGGGAACAACAACGTCATGCACATCCAAGGCCTCATCCACTCAGAGCGCAGACGCCACCCCACTGCGCCTTCTAGAGTTAACCTGCCACCGCAGCGCAGAGGCAGCGGGAAGGATAAAAAAGGAGGAGTGGGATGAAAAACTACAGTCTCAAATCTTATTTTGGACAGAAAAAAGAAAAAACATAGAGTGTATATATAAATAGACATAGCTAACCCCTCTTAGCCTGATTCATCAGCCGGTTTTACTTCTTAGAAACAGTCTAACCTTGCAGTGTTTGTTTGCTCGACGGTAGGCAGGTACTTTTTATCATTTAACCAATTGCTGCTATTTGGTATGTAAAGGGCTGTAACAGGGCTAAGTGGTATATTAAACTTTTCCCAAATCTTGTAGGAAAAAGGGCAATAACGTCTTTCCCCTTGATGAAATTCACCAAACATTCTCGTTATTCTGGCTTTAAATCCTCGTTCTCGGGAATAGTTGACAACACTTAATGTATGGTTCTTTGCTGATTGGTTGATGCCTGAACTTGCACTTTCGGGGTTTTTGCGAACCGTCTATTGTATTTTGATTCCTGACCTAATTGCTGGAGAGAAATGAAATTGAGCGGCGGCACTAGGTGGCGCCAGCCTGGCTAAACCCCTCTAGCCACCGTGTAGGAAGTCTTCATGGAGGCGCTTCCGTTTCCATTATCTCTGGCTCCCATTGACTTTACATTGAAAATTTGTCACCCCTCTCTTTGTTACTGCTGCTGTCAGCCTTGTCATTTTGGTCTTAAAATTAACCCACTCTACATGATCCTGGTGCTTTCATTTTGCTATTTTGTACGTAAATAAATTCCTATTCCTTATATGAACATGGCTCATGCAAATTTCACCACAGAAGTTTGACCTGTCCTCCAGCTCAGTAAACTATAGGGACTCCACAATGTGCTGATGTCATGCTACCAATTATAAAGAACAACTTGGTTCAAATTTTAGCCTTAATAATATTTAAAGGTACTGTGTAACTTTTCTGATTTGTTTACATTCATGTGCTTTTAAAAAAACTATAAGTTAATGTTTTTATTTTACTTAAGCTAACACTAGTTAATGTTATGATTAACATCCCTGTTTTTTCTCCAGTTTTCCTAAATATTTGCTTCCTGAAAATAGTCATTTAAAAATAAATGGAACACATTAAATTATTCAGCTAAAATATAAAATTTCCCCATAACATCATTTATTTATTTCCCCCTAAATTCCTACTCTCACTTTTCATTGGATAACGCTGTGAAAACCCCTATTGGATAACATAACTGTCTCGCACATGTGTTCGTAAATGGGGCAGAACTATTGGGAAAAGTTTGGCCGTTGCGGTAAGTTAATTTAATTTATGCAAAAATATTCAACCTTATACTTAAATTTAAGCACAACTGTTAACAATAAATTAGATATATTAAGGATGCATTTCCGTAGTTTATGAACAAAGTAGAGTTGTGAATATAGAAAACATTGAAATAAGAACATATATACCGCTAACATGCAATACCTTCATACGGAAATTGCGCTTTTTCCAAAGTTAAAGCCTTAATGTTAATTCATAATAAGATAAGATTTTATATTTATTTCAAGCCCTTTCTGTACAAACTATTGGAATGGACATAAAAATAAAACAGTGATAAAAGAAAATGGCAAAGTAAATCGGTGAAGTTTATGTTTTTTTCGGCTAACGCTAAACCGGAAACGGCTAAAAATTGTTGACTTGACCAACTCTCTTGAAAAGTTTGGTCATCTCACTAAAATCTAGGCATTTCAGACGAGTCTCCATAGAGCTAGAGTATTTAATAAACAGACATTCTCATTTGTTTACAACATTTGTCTGAGAGAAAGTGCCTCTTCTAAAAACTAAAGATAAAAATGCAATAAATTGCCTCATTAATAAGAACAATTACTTTAAAATCGATGTAAAATGTACAAATCAAGAAACTTAACAATAAAAAAAAGTTAAAAATTTCCATATTAATAAAGGTTATATAGTACACAAAAAACACTATTGTGAGCTTTTAGCCATATTATAATATTTTTACCTAATCAAAAACATACCCAGAGTCGTGTTTTGTTTCATTTACTCATGTTTATGTAATTCTTTATAATTAGAGAGTGTCTATATCTCCAAAGATGAAAAGGCTCTGTTCCACCTTGTGATGCCATAACTCATGTAGTGGAAGTTTTCACAGTATGGGTCCTTCAACGCTTTTAATGTTAGATAAAACCATATCTGAAACCTTTATGCTTAGAATTTTGCACCATAAGAACACATTTTATTTTATTTATAAGTGTTAGTGTGGTTGAAAGAAAGGAAAAAATCAATAGTAAGACCACAGTGACAATCAACGATTAAAAAAAACAATCTTAGTCAAATTTTAATAATCGATCATCATCAAAAAAAAAAATAATAATAATAATGTTGGATTTTAATCAGTAATACACTTTTGTTGTAAATATTCTCAAGTTAGAAGCCTTCCCTCATCATATTTCGACCTATATTTGGTCCAAAAAAAAGTGTAAATTTTCTAAATTTACAATAAAACGTATAGTTTACTAGTTTTATATTATTCATTGAAGTTTGTGACGTAAGCTGATAAGTCCCGCCCCGAAGCGAGATGCCTGGATTTAAAAAACTCCCTAAAAAAGTTTGGTCCCTCCTCCTCCATTCTCCGCTCTCCTTCCACCTCTCCGGGGCGGCGCACTGTTGTTTTCACCGGTGATGGAGACGAGAAACCCGCTACAACTACCCTCCATGCGGCGACCGGCTCTGCTTCTTTCAGTTTAGCCGCAAAACCGTGCACAAAACAGCGCCAAAGTGCAGAAAGAGCGCCGGGAGTGGATGACTGCGCGTGGACATGGACAGGACCGAGCAGCGCGTGTCCTTCGCCCACGCAGAGGTCCATTTGAGCGGGGGAGCGCCTTGGGGATTCACGCTGAAAGGAGGTCTGGAGCACGGAGAACCGCTCATCATCACTAAAGTAAGAGAAAAACTCGCAATCTGTCATTTTTCACAATGAAATACCCCAAATATAATCGCAAAACTCGATATTAAAGCATTTTATTGCGACTAAAGATGCAAATGTGTAAAATGTGCTTAGAAATTCCGCTAGCAAACTGTTGATCATAGCGGTAAATGGCATGTTTAATTGTTGTGTTTTTGATATAGCGCTAAATTGGTACTACATTGTAATTAGCATGCTAAATTTCAAGCAGGTTAGGTTAGTTCCAGTTTACCTCATTGAAAGTGTGGCTATTTTTGTTATATTGATCTGTGAATATTTGTAGATTTGAATGACATCAGCATCCTTGGTCTGGACTTTTTAATATGGTTTCATTTTTGTGTTACTTGAAATTTATTCTCAGTGTTATTTATCTCCGGTTCAGCGTAAGGTTTATCTAGTTCTCCTTATAATAGATATAATTAGATTTTTTAAATTTGTGGTGGCAGCAACGTTTGAGCTCCACCAAAACAGTAATTGTGACTAATAGCTGCTTCTCTCATTCAAAGTGGCTTCCCTGTTTGACTGTAGATCAGTGCAAATGTTCAAAGTAATGGGGTCTTATTCTGTGTACAAGCTGCTAACCCAGTAGAGCTGCATGCTTTTGGAAAACATTTTTAAACAAGTATAAAGTATTACATTTGCTATACATGTTTTAATAAGGGTAATTTTACTTCTATGGGATATTAACTGCTATAACATGTAACATATTTAGATCACCATGTTACCTTTTATTGTTTTGAAAATGCTATATCTGCTGAACCCCCCCAAAGTATTAACATTTTTAATATCTCACTTTTGTTTTTGACATTCTGAATCCCCCCTCCCTTTGCTCTCAGCATTATGTCACTCCCCCTGCAGAGCGCTTATGAGCATGGATAATGTAGGCTTGTGGGTTTAGCACAGTTTGAGTCTTATTGCTAACCATAAGGAGTAGGATTGTGCAAACATTTAAGTATCGATATATTGTATAGTTTAATTTGATGATACATTGTGGATATCGTGGGCTGCTTATTGATAAGAGTATTTTTTGGTATATTTTACAAAATTATTTTGTGAAAGAGCTACAATTTGGACACAGGAAACTTAATGCAATACGTTTTCATAGTTTTAATGAGTGAAATGGGTGTTTTTCCATGTTAACTTTACACCAGCTTAGTGGTTTAAAAAACACTTTTTTAGTATCACAGCCATGATTTAGCCTTTGTTTTTTACTGAACAGTATCTAATCGTTTTGAAATATAATATTTAGAATCGTAATGAATCGAAAGTGCACAGTATTGAAAAACATATTGTATCGTGGTATGTGTTGTATGAGCAACTTCTTAATGATACCCAGCCCAAGTAAGGAGGGAAAGGGCTAAGGATAGGGATTGAATAGGGCCCCAGGAGAGATCACTAGATTACTCAAACATGCTTGGGTAAGCCCGAAAACCTTTTCAGGTGTGTTTTTTGATAAGGACCAATGTTATAACTTGGCAGAAAGCTCAAAAAATGACTTTGCATAATACTCCCCCTATAAAAGGTCCGATTCTGTTCACATTGTGCCCATTGTAAACACGTCCAGAGACATTAACATTTGAGAGAAGACTGAAATGTGAACTGATAAACTAACACAAGAATCACATGCATTTCAATACCAGTCTACCAAGTGTTTAGTTGAGCCTGTTAACAGCTAGTAAACCAAAACAAACTAGCTTGAGAGGTCTGTGATGTTTTCAGTGTGTCTAGAAACCCTGTGTTTTGCAGCTAGACTTGATTCATGCACTGTTTTGAGCATTATTGACAATCTTTTTTTCTTTTTTCTCCTTATTGTTTTGTGAATTCTTCTGATTGCGATAACCAGATTGGAATTTTGCAATCTCTCAGAAATGTGCTCCATACAATGTGTTGCCTGTCTTGGTTGAAGTCTTATCTCACAAAAAACTCTCTAAAGGCGCTTTACCACATTTTTACCGTCTTTACCGCCACATTTTTACCGTCTTAAAAACAGTTTGCAGTGGTCCAAAGTTATTCCTTACTTACCTTATGCATTCTGGTCATTCAAATTATTCACCACGATGAGTTTATAAGTGCTTCTCAACTGTCATAGACCGGAGTGTAGTTTTGCTGTCAAGGTAAAGCGAATAACAACTAGCATGTTAACAGCACACTTCCTGATTATCTGACAGTAAAATACTTTGTAATTAGATGCACACATAACACAGACCCCAAAAGCTGTCTGTACTGGGGCAAGACACATATTTTTCAAATACTGTATTTTTTCGAACTGTAAGGTGCACTCCTTTAATTTTCTCAAATCAACAGTGCGCCTTATAATCTGGTGTGTCTTATGTATTAATTCTAGTTGTACTTACTGACCTCAAACCAATTTTATGTGGTACAAGGCGCTCAAAAATCAGTCAAAATGTTTTATTATGACTTTTGTAAGCTACGAAGCTTGATGAATTGTCATGGCACATACGGTACATGGGGAAAAAAATAAATCACATACAGAAGTGCAGACATATAATTTTATTCTCTTGCCTCTCCACAGATCTGACCTTTAATTTGGTCTGAGTGGTCACCATGGTTTAATGCCATACTGTGAAACATTGCAGATAAAACAGTGACATCTCCATGGAGAAAAGCATTTGACGCACCCTCCACCGGGAAAGTTACACAGTCCACCTTTAAATCAAACTACAACTCAAGTTTTTCTTCTAATTTAGCATATTTCTCCTATATTATCCTGTGTTGACAATCTGTTGCCTCTCCAGTCATTACCCAGGACAAGTTCATTAGAGTTGATGGTTGTCAGCTGTTCCTAAGTAGAATAAAGAGGTGTGTATATTCTCCACAGTGCAGGGGTCAGGCCGGGGTCCCGAGGGTGCTAAAAGGGTCTCCCAAGGGCCCCTCTGCCAACAAGACTCATCCATTTAAGACCTCTCTGTTTTAAGTGATGACAGACTGAACCAGAGCCCATGAAGTGGCCACAAATTGTAGAGTAAAAAAATGTAGACTTTATAGATCCACAAGGGAAATTATTTAGACACAATAGCTCTCATGTCACAATATAATATAATAATAATGAAAAAAAAAAAGATGATTGGTGTCAAATATAGCACAGTTATACAATTTTATATGTACAAGTAAAAATAAAAGAATATAAATAAAACTGTAAATACAAAATATATCTTGGCTATATACAAAAAGAGTGTAGTTAATGTTTAGTGTGTATGACTGTGTTTGTCTAATTATGACTTGGTTTGGTGGTTTAGTACCTGTGATAAATATCTGTTATATCAGTTAAGTGGCAGTTTGTGATAAAAGTTGGGAAGAAAAGTACAAAATCACAGGTAATGTAAATTCCAAACAAAATGAGAGAATTTACGTACACTTTTTACAATATAAACAAAACAAAGGTGCTGTTGTTTTATTTATTTAATATTCAATAGTCTAATTATAACTATTGTATACAGTTGAAGAGGTAACAACATTATAACATGGCTTAAAGCTCACGAGTCAATTTTGTGTAATATAGGACCTTTTATTAGTATTTTGTATAGGAAGTTCATAATTCAGCCCTCTACAGCTCAGAACTTGACCTCCCAAAATGATGGGAGTTCCATCTTTCATTTATTGAACGGTATAGTAATTCTTGTGACGGATATTTGTACATGTTCACTGTCTCTTGTCATGAATATTTAAACTCACCTGTGGAGTGGAAAACCTGGTCACTCATCTGGGAAAAAAAAAAAAAAACACCTTTAGGGAAAATGGAGGAGATCAAATCAGTTGTTTCGTGGCTTTAGTGTGTAATGATTAAAGGGCCAGTACCAGACTTTTCCCATGTATTTGAGCAAAATGTGCCTTACCCCAGTACAGACATGTTGTAATTGCTCTTAAGGTCAAAATAAGTCAGCTGTGAACTGTCTGCATCTAATTATGAAGTGTTTTATTGTCCGAGAATCAGGAAGTTCACTATTGATAGTTGTTCTTAGTATTACCGTGACAGCAAAACTCAGCTCTGGCCTCTGAAAGTTGTGAAAAGTGCTTAGAAACTCATCACAGTGAATAATTAGGATGCTCAAAATGCTTAAGGTAAGTGAGGAATAACTATGGACCTCTACAAACTGTTTAAAATGGACTACTTCTGTTTTTATTTTTTTTTTTTAAGATAGTAAAAATCTGTTTTGTTTTGTTTATTGTGAAGGAAATAATGGATTTTTTCATTACTTCTGTTCAAATTGCTATTTCAGTTCAACTGAGATTAATCTTGCAGCCCTACTATGAAATGTTTTTTATTTTCTTTTTATGTTTTCAATTTTAAAATTAATCAAACAACAACATTAATAAAATAAAGATATACAAAAAACAAAACAAAAACCCTACCACTCCCCACTCCTCTCCCCACCCTCAATATATACACACAATTAGACAAAAAAAAAAACACTAGGTATACAAACATCAAATGTCAGTCAACAGCTACTATGAAATGTTAATATCACAAGGATTGCAGTTTGAAAATATTCAGCTATAAGTAATGTGAAATTCCTGAGTCAGCATATTGTTGTTTCAGATTTGCCCCAGGCCCATTTGTGGATCTCTGAGCAGCCAGCCCCCCTTCGCCTCGTCTCCTGCCAATGTTTGGGGTCTTGTTCTGGGATCTTTTGAATGAGCCGTGGGACGTGGAGGGGGAGGGGTGGTCTAGTCTCAGAAAGAGTAGAGATTTAAGCCATTTGGTAAACATTCCTTCAGGAGTAGAGCACAAAATCGCTCAAATCCAACTCAGCAATTTTTACATTCAAATACCAGCCTTTTCTGATCAGCCTCTAGATGCAGGACTCATTGGAGATGTTGTTACTTCACCTGAAATGTTCCACAGTATGGCATTAAAATTATCTATCTTGAATGTATTGAAGGGCCCATACCCAAATTTTCCCACGTGTTTGAGCAAACCTTGTTTTGCCCTAGTACAAATATATTGTATTAAGCAG